GTGGTAATTTAGTGGTGTCTAAATAGAAATTGTGTGTAACCTGATTTTTGTATTGTTTCTGAAAGATCAGGTCTGCAAACCTTCTTTAGTAGGTGAGAGCAACACTAAGTCATCTGCATACAGCAGACCTCTGATCTCTGTGTCGTTGAGGAGGAGGCCAGGTGCCGTGGAACTCTCTAATTGGTTTGCTAATTCATTGATATATAGGTTGAAGAAAATTGGACTGAGATTGCATCCCTGCCTCACTCCCCGGCCCCGGGAGAAGAACGCTGTTTGTTTGTTTCCAATCTTTATGGCACATTCACTTTTTGTATACATGTTCTTAATCTTAATCAAATGTTTTCCCTCCAATGCCACTTTCAAGTAGCCTATAGAAGAGGCCCTCATGCCAGATGGAGTCAAAGGCTTTTTGGAAGTCAACAAAACAGGCTTATACCTTTCTTTTCTTAATGTTTAATTCTTGATCAATTAGAGTCTGGAGGGTAAATATATGGTCTGTTGTGCGGCAATTTGGCAAAATAACAATTTGGCATTTATGCAGAATATTGTGGTTATCAACAAAGTTGACAAGTCGTTTATTAATGATGTTGCAGAATATTTTTCCCAGTTTACTGGATACACATATTCCTCTGTAGTTATTTGGGTCATATTTATCTCCGGATTTATGAATTGGGGTTATTAAACCTTTGTTCCAGATGTCTGGAAAAGTTCCAGTTGCTAGAGTAGTATTGAATAGTTTTAGTATAGCCAATCTGATGTTATGGTTTGAGTATTTGATCATTTCGTTGAGGATTCCATCAATACCACAAGCCTTTTTTCCTTTCAGGGACTGGATGACTTCTGTTCTGTCTTGTTCAGTTACAGGGTAATCTAGAGGGTTTTGGTTGTTTTTTTATCACCGCCTCCAGAGTTTTCCATTTTGTGAATATCTTGTACTGATCATCATTTTTGTAATATTACTGTATAATTCACTAAAGTGAAATCCAAGTATTTCCATCTTGGATCGCCAATTCATCCTGCTGGGTTTTGTTTAGTTTGTTCCATTTCTCCCAGAACTGGTTGGACTCTAAGGATTCCTCAATTTCACAGAGCTGATTCTTGCTGTGTTGTTCTTTCTTAGTTTTTAGGGTGTACTTGTATTGTTTCAGAGTGGCCTCATATTGACAGCGTATGTTGTGGTTATCTGGGTCCCTATGCTTTTCATTTGATAATTTCCTTAAAATTTTCCTTAGGTTTTGCATTCAGTGTCAAACCATTTGTTATTGTTCATTTGTTGAGGTTTTGGTTTGGAGGCTTTCAAATTAGATAATGAAGCCAAATGATGAAATGTTGAATTGATTTTGTCCACAGCAGAATTTACACCAGAATTATTCTGGGGAAATGTTTCAGTTAGAAATAAATGAGTTAAATCATGTATGTTTTGATAACAGTTTTAGTTGAAGTTACTTTTTTTGCACAATGCACATTTCTTTCTTCTATATTTGGATTGCATAGCATGTTTTCTTACTGTGCAAATATGTATTTCTCAAAGCATTTTTAATTGTTATGTTGTTACATTTCAAGAACATTTTTAACAACTTATACTATCACAGATGATGGGGACAAATCAGCCATTTCAAAAAGTGATGGGGAATTGTTCCCAATGTAAATGTGCACACAGGCAACAATGTTGACTATAATTCTAATAGTTTGTTTAAAAGCCTTAAGCTGATGATACACAGGGGGAACTTTTTGAACAATGTTGCTGGGCAATCTGGCTGGTGGCAAGTCTGACATTTTAGTCCCGGATCTCTTTTCAAGGAACTAAAAGGTTCCTTCAGAGTATTGTTGTGTGCGTTTCCATCGGGGTCTAAAGACCTACAAAGATTAGGCAAATTAACCAGCTGACGTAGGCTGTAGGCCTGTACGCCGTACGAAGAGATGCACAGGCAGCAAAATTTATAAATGAACATCAGATTTGATGGAATATGATGAAAAACTACAGCCTGTGCTTGACCATTAAAACAGCTTTTTGTGCAAGAGTATAAAGAAGAAACACGATAACGTTTGTTACAAATTTAATAGAAAAACAAATTGTCACAAAAATGAAATCCATCCATCCATCACGTCAACTGCTTATCCTGCGTACAGGAGCCAATCCCAGCTGACATCGGGCGCAAGGCGGGGTCCACCCTGGACAGGTCCATTGCAGGACAAAAATGAAATGTTTTTAAAATGACAGTTTGGAAGGTTATTAAAACATTTCCAGTCGACGAGAGCTGCAGATCAGCTGCAGCATCACATCTGTGTCACATGAGCGTCGGAGGAACCTGAGGTTAACAAGCTTTACTACCTGCTGTAATCAGCTGTTCTGCTTGTTTGGAGAGGAGGAGACCGACTTATGCATTATGATAATAAGGATTGATGGCAACATTGCTCTAAAAATTGCTCCGTTTATCATCAGCTTTAGTGTGACAGCCTTTAACAGACCACACAAAACTGGTGAATTTCTCTCTTTTTTTGCATTTCCCAAACAGCATTTCACCAAGTAAAAGAACAGTTTAAACCATGTGTTTTAAACAAGTTCTTTCTGTTAGGCTATGTGTTTTTATCAGTATAACAATAACAGAAATAAGGGATTGCCTACTAGCTACTGCAACAAACTACGAGACTACATCCACACACAACTTAAGGTTTTCTTTTAGAAACCTGCCCCACAGACACAGCTAAGAGCTAATTTCCCACAGGGAGACTTACCTGTTAGAAGTTATGTATTCTACATATTTTTTGCAGCAGAGTTAATAGTTTAAAGTCAGTAAAATCCATTGCAGTTGCCAGCGAGGTAAGGAAAGTTACACTTAACCTGTCCTCGACTTGCATGGCAGCAGCTGACGCTTCATGTTCCTCAACTTTCTGATTTTTGTTTCTTACGCTCCACGATACCAAACATCCTATAATACACCATGATTAGTACCTTGTCTCACCTCTGCCCCCTGCATAACCTTTAGTTTAGCTTGAAATAGGCCAAACATAACCAAAAACAAGTGAATATGACCCATGACAAACATAAAACTAGATCTATTTTAAATTAAAACACCAATTTAAAAGGGAAAGATTTAAAAATAGGCGCTATTATTTGTTATTCACTTTTTTGCCTTTCTTCTTTTTCTCCGCTAAAAGTGTTTGGGTAGCAAAAACTGCTGCACGAAAACTCACCAAAATTGGTTGGGGGGTTGCAAATTCCACCCACTACTCAAGCAAAAAAACGGCCCTAGTAGACCTCATGGTGGCGCTATAACAACCATCTTTATATTTTTGCAATTATTTAAAAAACGGCTTTGTTTAGAGTCAAACTTCTTTAATCATTTTAATCTCTGGATTCATCTGCATCTTTGCTCCAATGGTCTTCTGCTCTAAAAATGTCAAATTATGTGACTTTTTATCTCTTCTCTCTAAAACCTTTTTTTGCGAACTCGTCCCAGATGGTTTCGCCAATCAACCCGAAACTTTGGCAGGATCATCTACACTTCGCTGATCAAAAGTTATCGAAAGAATTTTGATATATCAATCTGTTTTTGTCCATAAATTTACTTTTGTGTCTTTACGTACAATTTTACATAGATGCCCGTAAATCAAAATTGGCTTAAGCTAAACTTGATGCATCTGCTCAGATGGTGGGCCTGAGCTTTGCTGAGCAGACCTGGGATATTCTTCCACTAGGGGGCATTACACTTGCTAAAAGTTTATACCTCGTAATTCGCTGTATGGATTCGTTGAAATTTCGGTTTGTACGATCTCGGGTCACTACTAAGTTAATGTATAAATTTGGTAATGATTGCTCAAAGTGGGCGTGGCTTATTACAAGAAATGTACATTTCTAGACATTTCTCATTCCTAACTTCAGAAAAATCTAAAAAAATCATCCGTACGTCCTAGAGAGCTGAAACCTTTTCAGCACATCCACTGATATGTGACAACCTATGGTAAATTCAGAAGTCATATTTTTCGGAATATGCTAATTCACTTAACATCTATATCTCTACAAGTCTTTCTTCAAATGCCATCAAACTAGACAGAGTCGTTCTCCAGATGACAGATATCAAGTGTTTCAAAGGGTTTTCAGATCAGTCAGTTTTATTTGGATCGAGTGACACTTTCTATTTCATTTTCTCTGCCAAGCAGTGTTTGTGCACCTTAAACTTTAAACAATAAAATATGTCGCAGCCGGGTTGAACATTTCACGCAGTAGTCAGGTAGGCCTACATATAATGACACTAATCTCAAAGTGATGCTGTAAAAATCACATTTGCGTTTCCCCAATTATCTCAAAGTCCAAATTCTTTCACCACTTTAATCTCTCAAGTCGTCTGCGTGTGTTTCTCTCCTCTGAAAATGTCAAATGTTGCTTTTTTCGTGACTTGCTTGGAACCCGATCATTGCTGCCCGCGGCTATATTTATATTATGTAGTTTTTATCATTGTGGTGTTCTGACTCTGCATTTATTAAAATATATCCTATGTTGCCTGAATGAAAGATATATCTGTAGGATATTTGACACAATACTTCCAAATATGTAGGCTAGAGAGAAATCATGTGTTTATATATCTTATGAAATGTACTGTGTTATTAGGCTATCTAAATGGTTAGGATGGCTGAAAATATTAATTAACAAGGTCTAAACTTTAATGGCGGTTAATATTGTTAATTATAGGCTACATGGTGTTTTCCAAATATAAACAGGGATATTAGACACAGAACTACCAAACACATGTTCGTCGTCAACAATAGCAAACTGCAAACCCTTCTTTGGCCACTTTGTGATTATTCCATGAAGAGAAAGGTTAAAGTTTCGCAAAGTCATACCTTTGCACGTTGTGACTGATAAAAGCAGCTGTAGCCCTGCACGGAAAGTGGGCGATACAGCTTTAACATGATGCGCGCGCTCCCGCGGACAGCAATCACTTTTCGGCGGTGTAGGTGGACCCTGCTGGCCAATAGTGGCTCCAGGTGAGAGCAGCGGGCCACAGAGTGGCGTCAGCGTCCGCGCGAACCTAACAACCGTGGAGACGATGGAGAGCAAGCAAAGCCAGGTACCTTTACACTCCAGCCTGCTTTCTGGGTGTTGTTTTTGTTTTTATTTGTTTTAATTGAGTGTTATAAAGTAAACAGAAATAGGCTAAAAGGAAATAAAAAGTCGGTCTGGGTTGTTTGAGCAGCAGGAGCAGCAGGAGCAGCAGGAGCAGCAGGAGCAGCAGGAGCAGCAGTGACGGCGCGAGGCCACTCTGCTTTGATTTGACTAGTTAGTTTGAATCGTGCTCCACGCGCTCTTTATACACACGAGCGTAGTTGGCTACATTGTGGCAGAGTTGGCTACATTGTGTTAAGTCGCCTTGCAATGGCTTGTGCTTTACAAGGTCACTTAGTTTGTCATGTTGTCTTTTGATAAACATCGTTTAACATTGCTTTTTCCTTCTTTCCCGTTCAGTACGGTTTGGTCGAGCCCCACCTGCCGCTTATTACATTAGGTGCGTTTGATTTGACTGCAAGTGACTTCCGTTGACTTTATAGTCAAACATGAGATGCGGGCAACTGCAGGGGTATAAATACGTTCCACCTCCCGTAGACTGCCTGAGCTCAGAACAGTGGCCTGCAGATAACGTTCTTGCTTTCTTTTTTTATTGAGAACTATATACTTCTGAATTTACCAGTCAACTGTAAAAAAGGGAGTCATCAAATTGGGTGAAAATATGACATACATGGCCCTACTTCTTTTACAATAACAAACCCCTTAACCTAACAGTTCTGTAAGCTTTCTTGTTGGAATTGAAAACTATAGTTGTGGCCAAATGTAACAAGTGAGCTGCCAGAAGGAGGACGTCAAATAAATTTCATTCCCTTTAGAAGAGATCAGATCTGAAGTTTTTTAATAAATGACATGCGTGTCAGGCCTTGAAACAGCGAGGGTAAAGTTCTGTCATCACAAAGGTGGTTCCCACTTGGTGGAGGAGAACAACTGCAGGCAGCAGACTGAAAAAACTGCAGCCACTTTGCTACCATGAGGTTTTAATGTCATGTGACATAATAACATTAAGACAGCGCTGTGAATCACTGCATGAAGTTGTATGCACCAATTAATAAAGAACCTGCAAGTGTTTTTTTTAAACATTTTGTTTGTTTCACTAGAAATGACTATTTCCGGACCCAAATGTTCGTTTTTGGGTAGGATTTTGAATCAAATATTTTTTTCCCCACACGTCTGACATCAGTGCTTGTAAAATATCCACTGTGTCCTCATCATCTTTATTCATCCTCATTATTTCCGGATGTAAAGTTTTCTATCTCTCTTAGTTTAAGTAACAGCATCTCCCGACAGAACACCACGGTTGAATTTCAGCACGTTATAACATAACAAGTTGTTGTAAACTCTTTCTTCACCTGTCACTGCTCTGCGCACACACACAAACACGGATTCCCTTCCGCCCCACAAAGCAGTCAACCTTGAGAAACACTGTACTGCTGTCATCTTGTGCTCTGAGATGATGTTTAAAGTTAATAATATTTGATTAGTATTTCATAGACTATTAGGGATAATGCATAATCAAGTTCAATAAGCATGATTCCTAAATCTAATAATTGTGATTATGATTTCTGCCTAGACTACAATAAACTAACAACAACATAATGGGCACATTTCAATAATTAAATTAGGCCTACTGAAGAACAGACCCATCTCCACAAATCGTTTAAGTGCTGTGCCAGCGACACTCCCCGGCCACTTTGTTAGGTACACCTGTTCAGTTGCTGTAACACAAATAGCTAATCAGCCAATCACATGGCAGCAACTCAATACATTTAGGCATGTAGACGTGATCAAGACAACTTGCTGAAATTCAAAGCGAGCATCAGAATGGGGGAGAAAGGAGATCTAAGTGACTTTGAACGTGGCATGGTTGTTGGTGCCAGACGGGCTGGTCTGAGTATTTCAGAAACTGCTGATCTACTGGGATTTTCACGCACAACCATCTCTAGGGTTTACAGAGAATGGTCTGAAAAAGAGAAAATATCCAGTGAGCGGCAGTTGTGTAGACAAAAAATGCCTTGTTGATGTCTGAGGAGAATGGGCAGACTGGTTCGAGATGACAGAAAGGCAACAGTTACTCAAAAAACCATTCGTTACAAGCAAGGTAAGCAGAATACCATCTCTGAATGCACAACACGTCCAACCTTGAAGCAGATGGGCTACTGCAGCAGAAGACCACAGTGGGTGCCACTCCTGTCAGCTAAGAACAGGAAACTGAGGCTACAGTTCACATAATTGGACAATAGAAGATTGGAAAAACGTTTCCTGGTCTGATGAGTCTCGATGTCAGCTGCAATATTCAGATGGTAGGGTCAGAATTGGTTGTAAACAACATGAAAGCATGGATCGGGAGATCTTCATCATGGATGTGCAGCAGACAAATCTGCAGCAACTGTTTGATGCTATCATGTCAATATGGACCAAAGTCTCTGCAGAATTTTTCCAACACCTTGTTGAACGTATGCCGTGAAGAATTAAGGCAGTTCTGAAGGCAAAAGGGGGTCCAACCCGGTAATAGCAAGGTATACCTAATAAAGTGGCCAGTGAGAGTAACTGCCCTTCAGGAGGCTTCTGGAAGAGAGTAGGCTTTACAGGCAGGACATAAACAGTGTTCAGATATAGGGTGAATAAAGGTTAATAAAGATCTGTCTATCCATCTAGTCATATAGGTTGATCTGTTAGTTGCAGAGAAGGTGTTCACACTTTGTTTTCCCCTCAGGTGCTGAACCTTGTGCGGGTGCAGGAGCTGGAAACCTGGCTGAAATCAACCAATACAAAGCTGACTCAAGTTAACGGCCAGAGGAAGTATGGAGGACCACCTGAGGGTAAGAGAGGCTGATCAGCCCTTTACCTTCCCTAACACTGGATATTTCCTCTTCTTCTGACCATTCTCTGTGAACCCTAGAGATGGTTGTGCGTGAAAATCCCAGTAGATCAGCAGTTTCTGAAATACTCAGACCAGCCCGTCTGGCACCAACAACCATGCCACGTTCAAAGTCACTTAGATCTCCTTTCTCCCCCATTCTGATGCTCGGTTTGAACTTCAGCAAGTTGTCTTGACCACATCTACACAACTAAATGCATTGAGTTGCTGCCATGTGATTGGCTGATTAGCTATTTGTGTTAAAGCAACTGAACAGGTGTACCTAATAAAGTGCCCATTATGTTGTTGTTAGTTTGTTGTAGTCTAGGGCTGCTTGATTATGGCAGAAATACCTTTACACAATATCTTACTCTTGTATTTTTAAGTTTTTTTTGTAGTCTATCAATAATATATAATAATAATAAAATTGTGAAAAATGCCCATAACAAGTTCCAAGTAGTTTACGTTTATTCAAGAAACAGTCCAAACACCCAAGAATAAGTTTATAGTGATGTAAATCAGAGAGAAGCCACACATTCTCACAGTAGTAACATGACAAAAGTAGGGATGCAACGGTTATAGATTTTGTTGGTATGATTACAGTAGGAGGAATTATCCCGGGTTCATGATTAAGCATAAATTAATTTCACATCATCAGTAATTACTTAAGTTGATTTTTAATATTCAATTACATTAACAATCATACATCTATAATATTTAAGTATTAATATAAGATGAATATTAACTTTATTTATCCCCAAGGGAAATTGTTAAGGAGGAGAATAAACTGAACTGTATTTCTCCTCAACTCTCATCCTTTTTAGTGAAAATGATAGAAAGAAATTGAGAACATCTCTCATGCTGTGTTATTATTAACTGAAATGCAGGTAATTGGTAGTCCTGGAAGTCTATAAGGTCCTGATGTTATGTTAGTGTTTTACACATTTTCTCAACACAGAGAGGAGGAGGCAACAGGATGTAATGTGAAAATTTCAGTGACTGAAGGTCTTGAGCAGCTGCATCCAAGCCTTGCATCACCAAGTGAATTGCAAAGCATCGGATGCAGTGGTATAAAGAACGCCACCACTGGACACTAGAGCCGTGGAGACGTGTTCTCTGGAGTGACCAATCTAGCTTATTTGTCTGGCAATCTGATGGGCAAGTCTGGGTTTGGCGGTTGCCAAGAGAACGGTACTTTCCTGACTGCATTGTGCCAAGTGTAAAGTTTGGTGGAGGGGGGATTATGGTGTGGGGTTGTTTTTCAGGGGTAGGGCTTGGTCCTTAGTTCCAGTGAAAGGAACTGTTAATGCTTCAGCATAATAAGACATTTTGGACAATTTCATGCTACCACCTTTGTGGGAACGGTTTGGGGATGGCCCATTCCTGTTCCAACATGACTGTGCACCAGTGCACAGTGCAAGGTCCATAAAGACATGGATGAGCGAGTTTGATGTGGAGAACTTGACTGGCCTGACCTCAAATTGATAGAACACCTTTGTGATGAATTATTGCAGAGACTGCGAGCCAGGCCTTCTCATCCAACATCTGTGCCTGACCTCACAAATGCGCTTCTGGCAAAATGGTCAAAAATTCCCATCAACAGACTCCTAAACCTTGTGGACAGCCTTCTCAGAAGAGTTGAAGCTTTTATAGCTGCAAAGGGTGGGCCAACTCCATATTAAAGAATGGGATGTCATTAACCTTCATGTGCATGTAAAGTAGGCGAACCAAAACTTTTGGCAATGTAGTGTATCTATATACAGTACTGTGCAAAAGTAAGAATGCTTTCAGACTGAGACATTAGGGCTGCAACTATTTTGATTTATTTATTATTGAAACAAATAATCAACTATTCCGATTAGGAATTGCAAAATTATAAGGGTTTTTCCAGGCTCAGAAAGGGTCTTTGGGGCGTGACTATGCACGACAGTAAGCATTATCAGTACTAGGGCTGAACGATTTTGGAAAATCTAATTGCGATTTTTTTACCAATATTGCGATTTAATATGCGATTAATTAATTAACTAATTCACGAGAGGGGTCCAACTGCAGACCTCCACTGTTAGGCCACCTCCACTGTCAGGCCGGTCAGGACAGGAAATAACCATAAATAAACTGTTTTTTTACATCCCCCACAGGACGTAACATGATGCATTCTTGGTTGTTTTGCTACTCTACACTTTGCGACAACGTTAGGTGAGTGGTTAGCATTTTCCAAAACATTGACTAAAGTCTGAATGCATTGCCCATGGTATATGTTCACCGTGAAAATAGTTATCGTAGTCAATATTGTACATCTAAATCACACAAATTACAGAATGTTACACGTGTGTAAGTTAAGTTATTTGTCATTCTACATGGCCAACAGTGGCTAGCGTTAGCTCCTGAAGTAGCAGGATTAGCTTTATTTCCCTTTTGATAACATAAGCTAACGTTAATCATAGACTGTAAGCTACTGTGTGTTTAGCTTTATTAAACGTTTTTTTGTGCAGCATTTAGCAAGGGCATAGGTTTGCATTTGTCTTATTATGTTGACTTATGACTCTCTGGTTAGTTATTTGTCCAAATGAAGATATAATAAAGATCCATATCGTTTAGATCGTTCGGTATAGCTTTTTCACACTTAAACAACGTGCAAAGACTTTGCTGGCTGTATGAATTAATCTTAGTTGAATTGAAGTTCATGTAGTGTTACGACAGTGTTTCCCAACCCTCTCCTGGAGAAAGTTACCCCCTGTCCTGCTTGATTTAATCTCTCCATGCTCCAACACAGCTGATTGAAGCAGCTTCAGGATTCATAACGATTTCATAGTTTGAATCAGCTCTTTTGGAGCAGGGAGAGATCTAACACACACGTTTATATAAACAGAACCACAGCCACTGTTGGCATATCCTAATTTGTGTGATTTAGATGTACAAATATTGATAGTGGTAGATATTTTGATGGAACATGCCAAGACCCATGCATTCAGACTTTTGTTTTAAATTTTTTGCATAATGCAGATCAGTCACTGCTGCCAACTCCTTTTCTAAGTGTGTAACCTGTGTGTGTATACAGTGAATAAAGTAAAAGTATTATTACAGTAGGCTACTAACTTTTGTGTCTCCATTCATTTTTAAAAAGTGGATATTTACAAAATTATTGATACAGGTATAGGCTACATGTTGTATTATGCAATATAACATGTAGCCTAATAGATTGTATATATTCAGAAAATAGTGAGAAATGCTGTCACAGTTCCCTAAGTGACACCTTTAACAAGCTTGTTTTGTCAGTACAAACCTCAAAATGATTAAAAATACATTAAAATGATGAAATAAAAGTAGCAAATCAAACAAAACACCATTCATAAGCTGAAATGTGTAACCTACTCGCGCACACACAGCTCAGCATACACACAAGTTCTGCAATCTGTGTGTGTATGTGTGTAGAGAGAGAGATTACCTATAGTTAATAACTGACCCAAACAAACTGAAAGAGATTTTATATATATATATATATATATATATATATATATATATATATATATATATATAAAAAATATAAAGTGCTAACTCATCAATAATCATAACCATTCATGCAGAACAACACATTCAAAAGGTTTTGAGAAGTGCTAGTACGCAAGAAAAGGTCCTGGTACGCCAAAGAGTAAAATGTAGTAGCCAAGTGTGCCAATGAGTACACTTGCATTTACAGAATGTTTATTCTATTTTATTCATTGTCTTCACCGTGCAGGTCGATCGCTTGCGCTGCACATCTGAAGGGCACGTTCACACGCGGCGGATCTTTTCATGTCATCCACTCTCTGCTGTTATAGATATTACAGCCTAGTTATATTCTAAACACAGCTTGAATTTAAATGCAGCACACAATTTACAAAAAAAAGACTTGATGTTGTAGGCGGTAATAATACCCTCATAATGTCAGCTAGTTCTTACTGTTCTGCTTGTTTTCTTGCATTCCATCGGGCATCCAGAGAGTAACACAAAAGTCCAAATAAAAGTAGGCTATTTCTTCAAAAAAAAACGATTATCATCAATTCTAAAATTTTGACTGGAAAAGCTATAGCCAGTCAAAAATCACACGAGAGCGCCACACGCTCTCTTGAAGGGACCGCAGAACAGACCTATAACAGGGGAAAACTAGGCTACTGCATTAGTTTTGATGATCATGTAGCAACACAAAACCTATGAGCAGGGGCTTTTATGCACATTTACCTCATTCAAATGGATCGCTGTCAGATGCAGAATCAACCCAGGACACACATCTCAGCCCCCACCGTCAGACTCTCCTTCACTCACTGCCCTGAGCAAGTGTAATGCCTGTAGTGGGAAAGGCGTTGCCAATAGCAACATAGAATGTTTATCTAAACGCGCATCATGAACAGCGCTAAAATGAAATATTCTCTATAGGGGTAAATTTTACCCGCTGGCGCTTATAGGTATAAATGCCCATTTTTTAAATCTGGCCTTTTTTTAACAATAGGTGGTGCTACATAACACACTTTTAGGGAAAGCCAGAGACTGGGGGACTTGAATATTATATTGAAACAAAGATGCATACAATCAAAAAACAGCCGCGGGTAAATTTGACCCGTTGGCGGTTCTAGTGTTAATGCAGCGCTAGCTACATGTGTAAAATACAGCGGCTGTTGATGTGAGAAGAGGTGACTGCTGAAAGTCAAGGACGTCGTATTTAGTTTATGTTCTGCTTGCTCAACATTTTTTTTTGATTGATAAATAGATTTGAAATGCTATTTTTTTCTTAGCATTGGAGATTTTCCTTTGGCAGTCGCTAAAACGTCTTTGTGGGTGCCAAAAAATTCTCTATGCAGGAAAACCCCTGATTATACAATGCCTTTTATTTAGCTTTCAGCTTTTAAATTTAGCTTGAGGTTTTATAAGACATGTGCTAATAAACAATAAAATGAATACTGCATCCAAAAATACATATTGTCATAA